ATGTCCCCATGGTATCCTGCTGTCCCCACGATGTCCCCCTGATGTCCCCACGGTGTCCCCAACGTCCCCACGGTGTCCCCCACATCCCCAGGAGCTGCTGAACAAGCCCAAGAGCGAGATGACCCCAAAGAACCATCTCCATGTCCCCGTGTCCCTACGTTCCCCTGGTTTCTGTGATGTCCCTGTGATGTCCCCATGGTATCCTGCCGTCCCCCTGATGTCCCCACGGTGTCCCCCACGTCCCCAGGAGCCTGCTGAACAAGCCCAAGAGCGAGATGACCCCCGAGGAGCTGCAGAAGCGCGAGGAGGAGGAGTTCAACACGGGCCCGCTGTCGGTGCTGACGCAGAGCGTCAAGAACAACACGCAGGTGCTCATCAACTGCCGCAACAACAAGAAGCTGCTGGGCCGCGTCAAGGCCTTCGACAGGTGAGCCTCCGTGTCCCCAGGGTGTCTCCAGGGTCCCCAAAGTGTCACCTGGCTCCCTGTGGTGTCCCCATAGTGTCCCCATGGTGGTCTCAGTTCTCCCAAGGTCAGCTCGGTGTCATCATGGGTTCCCCTGGGCCTTCAGCAGATTCATCTCCAGGGTTTTCAATGTCCCCAAGGTGTCCCTAAGGTGTCACCAGGGTCCCCATGATGTCCCCATGGTGTCCCCACTGTCCCTGCGGTGTCCCCCCAGTGTTCCCCCTGTCCCCACGGTGTCCTCATGGTATTCCCCCTGTCCCCACAGTCTTCCCACAGTGTCCCCACAGTGTCCATGATGTCCCCCCCTGTGGTGTCCCCATGGTGTCCCCATGGTGGTCTCAGTTCTCCCAAGGTCAGCTCGGTGTCGTCATGGGTTCCCCTGGGCCTTCAGCAGATTCTTCTCCAGGGTTTTCAATGCCCCCAAGGTGTCCCCAAGGGGTCACCAAAGTGTCCCCAAGGTGTCCCCAGGGTCCCTGTGATGTCCCCTCGGTGTCCCCATGGTGCTCTCAGTTCTCCTAAGGTCAGCTCGGTGTCGTCATGGGTTCCCCTGGGCCTTCAGCAGATTCATCTCCAGGGTTTTCAATGTCCCCAAGGTGTCCTCAAGATCCCCATGATGTCCCCACTGTGTCCTCAGTGTCACCACAGTGTCCCCATGGTGTCATCATGTCCCCTCGGTGTCCCCAGGGTCACCACGGTTCTCCCAAGTTCAGCTCGGTGTCATCATGAGTTCCCCTGGGCCTTCAGCAGATTCATCTCCAGGGTTTTCAATGTCCCCAAGGTGTCACCAGTGTCCCTGTGATGTCCCCATGGTGTCCCCATGGTGGTCTCAGTTCTCCCAAGTTCAGCTCGGTGTCCTCAAGGGCTCCCCAGTGTCCCCAAAGTGTCCCCAAGGGCTCCATGGTGTCCCCAGGGTCAGATCAGTCTCCCTACAGTGTCCCCCCATTTCCCCCAAAATCCCTTTTTTTT